TTTGCTTCTGAAGAAAGCTTGACATTAGACTTACGAGGATATTCTTAGTTGCCCATCTTGGCCAAGACAAGGAAAGTGAAAATAATCTGTTGCTGGGTTTTATTGTTTTGGGTGAAGGAGTACACTTCTGACCATACCAAGTCAATTTAGGCTAACTGAGAAATAGGGAGATAGTGTTTGTGAAGATACATGGTTAATTGCAGAAGTCATGTTGCTTTAGGTTGAGAAGAGTAAGAAGGAAACTTACTCTTCATTATTTTTTTCCACTGAGGACAGGGCTCATTTCTATGAAACCTGGAATCCTGCTTGGTGACAAAGTCTAAATGTTTGCTTTTGGTTCTTACTACAAGTCAGCTAAAGATAAGTTGAATGTTCAAAGGAGCTGGTTTGTTTCCTGTTGAGAAATTAAACCTTTTGCAAAATACAGAGATTTTGCAGAGTGTGATTCCTAATAGAATCAGTTCTATTAAGCAATGATTAAGTCAAGGCAAAGGTTTTTATCACACTGAGTTAATCAGCTCATTAATGCAAGAGTGTCTATGTCACACCTATAACTGTTTTGTGAAAGGCAGTAATCAATATGCAAGTATCAGGGGTCTGCATCTTCAGTATTTCATTTCCTTTTGAACCTCAGTTTTGTCATTCCCCCAGCCACAGGGATGTGTGTCTGTCTGTTAGTCAATTTTGTTCAGGCTACAACTCCATAGATAATTTGTAGTTCATGAAAGCTGATGTTACAATACGTTTATTAGTTTTAGGTGCTAAGGAATATATTGTTTTGCCGCAATACACTAACATACCTAGCTCTCTAATCAAAATATTTAGTAATTCTTTGGAATACCATCCCTGAACAAATGAAAGTATATTGCTACAAGAAATTATGAACAGAAAGGCATAAAACCAAGCTTGGACATTGTAATGAGGTTTTTTTCCCTCTCTCTCTCAGAGGTTGTTTAAATTGATTTCTAATTTGGAATAGTAACTGATAAAATTAAAATGTACTTAAGAGAAATGTTGACCAGTGGCTTAAAATAAAGATTGCTAACTGTATTTGTCCGTCCAAAGAAGCACTAGGAAGTGGGGAAAATATGTTAAAATTAATTTTTGCAACTTAAGAAGCACCAGTGAGAAAATTGAGTCTGGTGTTAGATTAGGGTTGGCCAGAACCACAGTTTCCTCCATTCCATTGGATGAAAAAGTTTTCTGGAGGGGATCCACCTCTATAAATATATTTAATTCTTTTTATCTGCTTCAGTGATTTCATTGAACTCATACCATTCTCAAACACCTGGCCGTTCTTTCTTCCTCTAGACCTTATTTAATCCTAACAAGACTGTGGTGAAGATGTTTGTGGTGATATATGACTTAAGAGAGATGCCTGCCAATCATCAAACATTCCTGCGGCAAAGAACTTTTTCTGTCCCTGTGAAGCGAGAAACAAAAAAAAGCATTATTAAAGAAAATACTCGACATACTGAAGAGAGACTATTACGCTACCTCATTCATCTGAGGTGAGACACCGGCTAAGGAAACAAAGTTCTGAGGTGCTCCCTGGCGTGACCTCTGGGGGTCCAAGGGTTGCACTTGACGTGCCAGGGGGCTGTACTGAGGGTCACAAAGTGTGCAGAGCTGGCATTAGGTTCCTTGGTTTTCAGTGGTGATACACTTATTACAGCACTACGCTTGCACTATACTTTTCCCCAATTAATAGGAAATGTGCTGTCACTTGTCATCAGTAATGGTCAAAAGGGGCCTTTAAGGGATATATAAAGGGAATTTAGGGACTGTATATGTCCCTGGGTACCCATTACCCAGCCCTTTTCCACATCATTTAGAAATCCCCTACCTTTAAGAAGCTATTTTTTTCTCCTTATTGTAACAATAGATTTGGTATTAGTGACTCAAGTTTAGCTGCTGAAATCATAGACATCCTCTCCAAAAGAAATTAAGTCTTAGAATGGTCAGTTGTTTAATGGCTGAATCTCCTTGGGAGGCCCTAATTAAGGATGGGTCACACTTCCATGGCAAAGCTACCTTAGAAAGTGGTGGTCAGCAAAAACATTTGAACCAGACTAAAGTTGACATTTACTTTTTACAAAAGTTGCCTTGTAAAACCTAAGAGGTCAATAATGCAACTTTTCATCTGAACTCATTAGACCTCTTCAATGACTAAACCAGCTTCTGTAAAGCTAATTCAAATAAGGTAATATCCAAACATTAATTTATGGGTGTACTTGCATCTGGACTAAAAGTCCAGCTTGTTCTTTAGAATTGCAGAAGACGGTCCAGAGAGAGAGAGAGACAAAGTAGAAAAAAATAAGGCCACTGTTTCAAATTAGTGCTATGCTATGGTGCTTTGCCTGAATATATAATTGCAAGTTTGCAATCAGTTTTTAAAATTTGCTCTTATTTCAACTGTGAACCTTGGGGAACAAGCATCAGACAAACTGAAAAACAGTCCCTTTTGTACTAGTTTACATTGTCATTGTTGCAAACAGGAACTACCTGTGTGATGCGAAAGAATTCATGAAACCCAAGGATATTGGCAGAACTGTAATATGAAATAAAAATAATTTACTTTTAAAAATGGCTGAAACTTGGAGACCTTACAAAATGTTATTCTGGGAAGGCTCACTAGATTTCTAGGCAGAAACATTGCTAAATCTTACTGAGGCCCATCTTGTGAGGTGTTCTGTTGTTATGTGATCATTCATCAGTGACCGCTCTTGATACCTGTTCCCTTCCCAGGTTCCAGAGTTCCAAGTCTGGAAAGATCTACCTCTACAGAGATGTAAGACTTCTGTTTTCCCGAAAATCCATGGAAGTGGACAGTGGCGCTGCATATGAACTCAAATCTTACACTGAATCTCCAATGAATCCTCAGTTTTCACCCCGGTGTTAGCAAAACACAACAGTGAGAATATTTCCTCAATGACCAGATTATTATTCAAGACGAAACAATAAAATATCCTGTGTAAAAGTTGAATAACGGAGGTAGTGAGAAGGATGGTCAAATGGGAGTCAGAGCTCTTGGACCAGTTCAAAAAGGCTTCTAGAATGAACTTTGTGTATTTTGAATAGACTGGAACACACTTAGTCCTAAACTTTTTATACTCGTTTTAAACCACTTCATTGGATGTGTTGCAATAGCAGATTCCCAAATTAGTTTAGTGTTTACACCTTATTTTATTTTATTTTTTGGCTATTTAATATTTAATGTTCCTTTCACTTAAGTGATGTTTGTCTTTACTGTTCTAATGTAGCACAAATCTGATGTAAAATCATACTACGTATTTTTGACATTAATATTGAAATCTTGAAATATATACAGAACCCTTTACTTTGATGTGTGATGTGTTTTTCAGTGATTCTTAAGTCACTTAGAATAAGGATGGGATTTTGAACTTCCATTACATTATCATACTATGCAAGGATGTGGGAACAGGAGAGGGTCATGTATGTCTTTTATATTGCTCATTTCTTCCCACACTTAGTTCCCATGATAAACATAAAACCATACCAAAAGAAAAACATTTTGATTACTCATGATTCAACTCATAATTAGCACCTCCTTTCCCCTTTAAAGGTCTCTCCTCAAAGCATTTCACTTTATCCTAATAGATATCCACATTTGACATTACACTGCTGTCCCATACCTGACTTTCTCAGACTGTAGTTTTTTTTTAAAGATGTACTGTGAAAACAAAGTAGTATTTATATCGTAAATATATGTGAAAACAGCAATATTTGAATTCTGGTTTTATTTTGAGATGGTCTTTGTGCTCAGTGGATGGATGGGGCTCTTTTTTGTTCCATGGGTGTCTCTAGAAAGTTAATTCTTTTATTGCAGTAGGAAATAATTGCAAAAGAACTGCCCATGCCATATGTTAGCGCAGCTGCTCTAATAGAAGAATGCTATTTAGAGTATTCTCTTAATGTGGTTAATTTTTGAAAGAATTAGTATTAAGAAAAGCATTATTCTGCTACTGCTCATAATTCTATTTCTGTTTTGCTATTCAATCCCAAAATGCCGTGTTAAGAAAAGTAAAAAACTTGGTTAAGCAAAGGTTTATCTCAACAGCTGACCCAAAAGCGCAATACAGAAAAGGAAAGGGTGGCTCGGAGGCCAGAGATCCGTTATCTCTATCTCAGCCAAAGTTCTGGATTTCCCTTCTTTAATTGGGTATAAAATCCTTTTCCAAAAAGCAGGTAACAAAACAAACTATTCAGCTTATTTACTGTTCATTTTGACAAATCTTAACATTCCTAATGAGATGAAGAGAATATTTTAATAAGAGTAATTAAATAATTACTGAAACTTTCTTTTCATGGCATGCATTTGAATTATCAAGCAGATCTAAAGTTAAAAGTTGTTTCCTGAAGCATCTAAGAGACGGAAAGGGCTAAGATTTGGTGCCTTAAATTAATTCTTGATAAGCCACTTTGGGCACTAAACAATGGAAAGGGGGTTATAAAAAGGCTAAAATGTATGCTTCAAATCAAGTCTTAAGTCCCTTTGGGTACTGAAACTAGAAAGACCTCAGTCAGATTCACTCAGTCATAAAAAGCTAACATGAGTAAGCAGAGAGAATTGCCTTACAAATTAAGGTCACTTGTAAGTATTACCCAATTTTAGGCAGGTTTATTTAAAAGCAAGGCCAGCTAGCAATCCGATTTACACCATCACCACAGTTTAAGACTACAATCCTTTGCAGATTTCCCATGGTCTAATCCTTAGTTTACAGAATCGAACATTTCCAGGAATGCAGACATAAACTACATTGTTAGACCTACGCAGTCTTTCTGAAATTCTAGAAAGACATGGCTCAACAGTGCAATCCCATGTATCTATTCGTGGGTAAGCGCTGTTTACTTCTCTACTGCGTTATAGCCTGAATCGTTCTTCTTCGCCTCCCCGTGGGGCAGTTAAAGATGACAGGAATCTTCTCCAGAACTTCAACTCCCAGAATGCCCCAGCAAACAACTCCGGTGACGGAGGAGATGACGCACGCAACCTACAAGCCGAGCTCGCGCTGGAGAGAGCAGCCCTCCGCGCCTCTCCTGCTGGCGACTCATTCATTCGCTCTTGGAGGGGCATTTCGAGCCGAAGAGGAAGTTTGACCCGGTCGGCTCGCCGTCTTAACCGGCGGCCATCTTGTGAGCAGTTGTGGGGATAGCGGCCGCAGGCGGTGGTTGGAGCTGCGCTTTCCAGGCGGTAGGCCTTTCTCGCCCGGGGCTGTTTCTGGTAGCCCGGTTGTGCGGGAGCCATGTCTGCGGAGAATCTGGAGCCCGCTTCGGCAGAGGAGCAGAAGGTGAGGCGCCGCTGGACAAGGGCTGGAGGAACAGGGGCGGGGGCGGCTAGGCCGCTGCTCGGCGGAGGAGAAAACTTCCAGCGGGCGAGGGAGGAACGGGCCGCCTCCCTGGTCTCCGCCGGGCGCTTCATGGCGCGGTCGGAGGGCCGGGCGTGCGTGCAGGGGCTCCTGCCGAGCCCCTGGGAAGGCCTGCCGGGCGGTGTGTGTGTGTGTGTGTGTGTGTGTGT